GAGTCCGAACCACAAAAGAAGCGCGTATTCTCGGGAAAGTGGTTGCAGGAGGTGAGCTTCAAACAAATGATGAACGCACAGAGATTTGGTGCAGAATGTGCCGTGAAAATTTAATAAATGACAAATTAAAAAGGCATGAACATTTTTTTTTGAACCGAACCGAACCGAACTGTGAATTTTGTGTATCGTTGCACCCCTAATATATATATAAATATATATATATCCATTGAGAAAAATCGCAGAAGCCCTGCCCAACAGGGATTGGGACAGGGAATCGGGCTAAGACTAGTACAGGCACATATTTCTGCTTCTTCCGCTTCAGAGGACAATACATTGGCTGTCACTAAATTCCAGTAAACCTACCTTACACTTAACCATTAGTACTACTTATCTAATTCCGAGTAAACTTAAACCAAGTCTTTTTCAAAGGCAGAAAGGAAGAGAGGAGCCCAAAATACGACTGCAAACAGAGTTGAATCCAGATAGAATTTGTATTACACTTTTGTGTGCAAACCCACACATACACAAAGCTAAGAAAAATAAAGGAGAAAGGACAGAGGAGGACAAAGAGACACAAGTGGAGTCGAGGGAGGGACGGGGAGACAAAGCGTATTAATGCACAGCTCATTGACTTTGCATAGCCTCTGGACAGAAATAAAACTACTGCCTCTTTCACTATTAAATTCACTGTAGGCTCACAAAAACACAAATGTGTGCGGTTCTGTTTCTCAACACCTTCCAAGTATAACAAATAAAATGAGTTTTTAAATATAATTTTACTGACCAAATTTGATTTCATAGATATCTATTAACTGTCATATGCAATGTACATAAAATTCAGGTCATCCTCAAAAAGAACATGTATTGATAAAACTCTGTTTCTTTACATCTAAGGTCCAGTTAATGTGTTTTGCCTTCTTGTTTATTCCCTGATTGAATAAACAATAGCACACTCAGATTTTCACTGTTTTCATTTAATTCAGTGTCCTAGAAGCTCTTTTTATGATGCCATTGCTGTCAAACATTCTTGTGCTATAATAACATTAAGCACACAATATTAATAACCCATTATTTTTTCTTGCTTGACTTGCACTGACCCTATGTACCACTTACTTCCCCTCTGTGGAATCCAGAAGCTCTTTACCAATAACTGCTGAAACAGACTTGCTAACAGTCCTGGTTAGTGCATTCTGAGAGGTCAGTGACCAACATGGCCAGTAATGAGCCAACACAACAAATACTAAACTCCACATGTTAAACATCTCCATTAAAATATTAACACTGTACATTGTCTCAAGTTACATTTCCTAGTAACATTATTTTGAAATATGTGGACCAGAGATGTAGAGAAATGTGAAACACTCCTAATACAAAAGAAAAACATCCTAACAAATGTACTTGTGGAAAAATTGGTCTGAAATTACACAGCTTAGTATTTATGGCAGACTGAGAGAAAAAGAGGAAAAGTCTCTCTAGAGTCTCTATATTCTGTGCCCCCTTACTGATTTCTTAGTTTGTTGCATATTTGTCACCCTTATATGTATCAGATCATCATTCAAATTTTATTTATTAGACAGAGGTAACCTGAGTAAATACAAAAGACAGTTTTTAAATGATGATTTAATTTAGGGGAGAGAAAAAGAAAATCTATCCAAACCTACATGCCCCGGTATAAAAAGTAATTCCCTGCTAAACCTAATAACTGGTTTTGGAACCCTTGGGAGCTGAAACAGCAAATAAAGGTTTGCAATAACTGGAAATGAGTCTTTCATCTCACTGTGGAGAGATTTTTGCAAACTCTTCTATGCAGAATTGTTGTAATTCAACCACACTGGAGGTTTTTCAAGCATGAACACCCTGTTTAAGGAGATGCCAAAGCATCGCAATCTGATTTAAGTCCATGAACTGATGGACAGACATTCTCCTTCAGGATTTTCTGCTAGAGAGCTGATTTCATGGTTCCTTCAGTTACACTAAATCGTCCTAAAGCAGCAAAGCATCCCAGACCATCACACTACCCCCACCATGTTTGACTCTTGGTATAATGTTCTTTTTATAAAACACTGTGTTAGTTTCATGTCAGACATAACCAGACCTTTCCACAAATCCTGCTCCACAGAATCCTCCTCCCACACAAATATCATTCTAATATTAAAATGTGTCTGATGATCTGAAATATGTGAGCGTGACAAATATGCAAAAAGTTAAGAAATCAGGGAGGGATTATTACATTTTCTTGGCACTGCACCCTTTAGTGTTAGTGTGTAAGCATGCTTCCTGATGCATGATAACCTTGGCTGTAAATTAGAAACATTCACTGTTTTTCAAAATTAATGAGACCGAAAGGACCCCTGAATAATTTACACCACAGACGAAGCAGCTCAAGAGGGAATTCAGTTTGACAGTACACTTTTTCCATACAGTCATACCCAGTGGAATAAATGCACATGTGTCTGTAAAATCCAGAGCCTGGTGATACAGTCTGACTTGTGATGAGTATATTGAATGATCCACTAGAATTTCTCTTCAGTATTTTAATAATATATAGGCCATAGACATGGGGACTGAGTGGGAAGAAGAAAGGGACTTTTAGATGAGTTCCCGGACAGTATTTAAAAGAGACCACATTTCATTCTTCCTGCAAAATTAAGCTTTACTTCTCATGGTCAGTGACGAATAATGCTCTTCAAAACCTGAAGTAGCAGTAAGAACTTTTAGCTCTCTTCCAGGAGGCTCATTTATGTTAGCCTCAGTGAAGAGAGTGAAGGACGCAGAGCTTCGTCGGGGAAAGTGTGAAAGCTTCTCAGAAGAAACATTTCCAAACAGGAGAATAAACTTGTTTCACATTGAATGTTTAGTTGAATGAGTTTTTATGAATGTGTTTAAAAGTAAAAATTAAAAAAATTAAAAAAGAACGACAGTTGTGGTTTTTTTCTTTAGTACCAAACGGACTCCCTCTTACCCAAACTGGTCATTTTGTTCCTGTTAAAAGAGAGTTTTTTCCCACTCTTAGCAAGTGTTGTCTCCCAGAGGGTCATCCGTATGCTGTGGGTTTCTTTCTACTATTGTAGGGTCTTTTCCTTGCAATATCAAGTGCCTTGTATGCACTATATAAATAAAACTTAACTCAACTGAAATATTTCTGAATTTTTGCTAGGCCTGTGCGATATGACCAAAATCTCATATCCCGATATAAGAATTCTATCGTCCTGATAACAATATAAATCACAAAAATGTAACATTTTTCTGTAAATTCTGTGACTCTAGGGCCGCTCGACTTGCGGGAACTGTTTCCAGCTGCGCGTCATGTAGCTGGAGTCGAGTGTTTTAACC